CCTCACACATTCTAGGCCAGTGCTCTACCACTGAGCCACAGCCCCAGCCCCCATTCTAAGATTTTTGCAAACAAACAAAAGGGAATTCACCAATGATAGACTTGCCTTATAAGAAATGCTAAAGGGAGTTCTTTCTTAAAAGTAGAGAGTAGAATGCATTTAAATGAAAGGGTAATAATTAACAATGTAAAAACATATGAATGTACACAACTCAATGGTAAATGCATACAACTCAATGGAAAATTCAAAATCAGAATTCTCTAATTTTGTTATGGTAATGCATAAATCAACTCAGAATAAAAGTTAAAAGATATATATTTTATACATATAAGTAATATTAAATATATTATCTATATAAATACATATTAAATATTATATATTTATAGTACATATATTTATTGAAAATATATTTTACATGTATTTATACCACATATATAAATAAACATAATACATATATGTAAATATATAGAGAACATATTAGATATGGAAAATGACAAACCCCAAAATAATGAAGCCTTGGAAGAGGGAATGCAGAGAAAAGCACCACGTTGATAGCATTGATTCTTTCTCAGTGACAGAACAATCCCTAGAAAGAACCAAAGCACTGATCCTTCCCCAAATAAATCCTTTCCCAATGGCAGTACAATGGGAATCTGAAGGGAAAAAGTACTGAATATTGACCCCCAGATCCTCTGTTCTTCTCCAAAGAAAAATATTGCCCAGTAAAAACAAATTTTCAAATTCTCACAAACCTATTTCCTGAGTGCCCAAAACTGACAAGCTCATTAATTAAGTCACTTCTCAGTATAACCTATATAAGCCCAGTCCCCTCCTTTGTCCAGAGGCTCATTTTCCACCAAGAGAGTGAGTCCATTCCTGTGGGTGTAATACTGTTTCTGAATAAAAGGCTGTGAGGATCTGTGAAGATCCTATTCAGCCTGGTCTTTTTGTGCTAATAGTACATATATATACTATAACTAACTATAATAATTTGTTAAGAGATACACAATATTTTTTAAATGATGTAAGCAGGGCATGATGGCACACACCTGTAATCCCAGTAACTTGGGAGGCTGAGGTAGAAGAATCTAAATTTGAGGCCACTCTCAGCAACTTAGCAAGGCCCTACCTTAATTCATTAAAAAAAAAAAAAAAAAAAAAAAAGCAAAGTGGAGGGGCAGTGGGAGAGGTGCTGGGGATATAACTCAGTGTAAAGAGGCCCTGGGTTCTATTCCCAGTCCAAAAAAGATGACGAAAATGGAAATTTTTTATTTTTAAATTTGTTCTAATTAGTTATACATGAGAGTAGAATGCATTTTTGACGCACTGTACACAAATGGAGCACAACTTCTGCTTCCTCTGGCTGTACACATTGCAGAGTCACACTGGTAGTGTAATCATACATGTATATAGGGAAATAATGTCCGTCTCATTCCACTTTTTTCCCATCCCCACACCCCTCCCCTCCTTTCACTCCTCCCTGCACAATCCAAAATTCCTTCATTCTTCCCTACCCCCATCCCCACTATGGTTCAGCATCCATTTACCAGAGAAAACATTCGGCTTTTGGATTTCTAGGTTTGGTTTATTTCACTTAGCAAGATATGAAATTTTAATATCAATGACTTAAGATGAGGGGAGAGTAAAAGTACAGAGTTTTTGTATGCAATCACAGTTATTACCAATTTAAAACAGGATACTGTACAGTGGCACATGCCTGCAATCCCAACTACTCAGGAGGCTGAGGCAAGAGGTTTACAAATTTGAGGTCAGCCTAAGCAATTTAGCAAAACTTTTTAAAAAGGCCTGGGGAAACCGTTCAGCAGTAAAGCATCACTGGGCTGAATCCCTGGTAAGGGAGTCCAGGAGAGAAGGAGGTAGGGAGAGAGAAAGGAAGGTCATGACTGACCTTAGGACATTTGAGTCATTTGGACAAATCAGAACAAGTTACATGTTCATACATTTCACTACATTTGAGAGTAGGAAAGCTCTCAAGGAAAAATAATTTGTGTACAAGACATCTCATCTTGTTTGGGGTCCCCAAGAATCTGATTTAATCCTGTTTAGGCACAGAACTACTTCTGAAATTATCCAACAAGTCCAAAACTCTCAGAAAGAATGAAATAGTTCTAGGTATCTAAAACTAACCCATTCTCTCTTGAATCATTTAAAATGGTCTGGACATATATACTATAACGTAATCTTTTAATTGTATCAGAAGCTCACCTAATTTCTTCTTCCTACTAACGTTGTCTCAATAAAGACCAACAGCTCACATTACCATCAACAGCTATAAGCCAATCCAGTTTCTGGAGTTATGGGAAGAAGGTAAGAGCATACACTGGCTTAAGATAAGAAACTATAGTCTCAGCTCTTATTATAACTAACAATATGAATTTTAACAATTCATTTAACTTCTCTTGATTTCAATTTTTTCATTTATATTATTTCTGCTTAAGGCAGGTATGCCTTCGTGTATGAACCAATCGATAATGTATTTTCCTACTTTTTCTTCAACATAAAATATGATACTAAAATTGCAAACCATATTCCTCATATTCAAGATGCACTTCAAGTCAGTTTCATATTTAGAACAACTGTGTTATGAATGAATCTCATTCTTTTTTTTTTTTTTTTTTTTTTCCAGGATGGAATGGAACCCAAGGGCACTTAACCAGGGAGCCACATTCTCACATCCTCAGTCTGTTCTTTACTTTTTATTTTGAGACAGGGTCTCACTAAGTTGCTTAGGGCCTCATTAAAATACTGAAGCTGGCTTTGAATTCACTATCCTCCTGCCTCAGTTTACAGAGCTGCTGGTATTACTAAGTGCACCATCATGCCTGGCCCATGTAGCATTTTTAATGTTTTATCATTAAGAAAAGTCTCATGGTATTTATCAGTGTCATTCAACATTAGCAGTTTTAAAAATATAAAAATAATGTTTAATAATAATCCACTTTATACATGCACACACACACAAACGCGCACGATGTCAGGGAAGAAAGTGCACACATGAGCACAGAGTAGAGCATGAGTTAGCCAATAAAAACCTAACTCCTTCCCAGGCCTCCAAGAGGTAGAATTCATAATTTACTGTCACTACTGTCCTTTAATAACTGTTAAGCAATTTTGAATAATCCTTTGGGCTCAAACTGATGAAATCTATATATATAATATATAGGATGAAATCTTATATATATATAT